ACTTCCGTGGCCGTCGAGTATTAAAAGTCTATACTTCCCCTTCGTACGCGAAGAAGTAGACGGAATAAAGAGCTTTTCGAGCCACCGAAGACCAATTTCATCGGAGGTCCATCCGTTAGGACTAACCTCGAGTCTCCAATTATTCGGAAGGCCGTCGAACCAAGATTCGATAAAGACTTTGCCCTTAAAAATGATACACGGAGGAAGCGCCCACCCTGAAGCATTTATACACTCAATTGTAGTCACCTACGCGCGATTTCCGGGCTGTAAAAGCGATCGCCGTCCGTAGTATTCCCTTCTCGTGATAACCTTCGCGGTCGCAATCAAGCCCATTGCGAATCCGGTCTCATCAAAGTTATAGATATCATCGGGATCGATACCGTGAGAAATGATCGTTTTTTGGACGAGAGAAAACCATTCTTCAATGATTTTCGGGTCTTCACACTTCGCGCGCTCGTAATTATAGCTTTTCGAGAATCGGGAGGAAAGGTTAGGATGCCTTTTCACGAATTTTGTAACCCAATTTTGGCCGACCGAAGGAGGAGGGGTAGATCCACGCGCCGCGAGTAGTAAATTCGCTATTTCTCGTACAGTAGAATGCCGAGGAGCTGCTCCGCGGAGATCCATAGAGAGAATCCATTTTTGAAGAGATTCCTCTTCAATTTCAGTCAATTTTAGATTATTTGCGCGAGAAGACGCGCGGTTTTGAACCCCATTAAGGCGTATTGTGAGAGTTGAACGCGGTACGTTAAATTGGCGTGCTGCTTCGCGAATTGAAGCAATTTCTTGCTTCTGAATAGCCTGAATAGCTAATAAGATCCTACCCTCTTTTTCAATTGAATTTCGAGAGGATTGAGTACGTTTTGGTGGCATGGTAGGTGGTTGAAAATAGAGAGTCTAATTAATTGACGCGTTTTGGGTGGGGTGGCCAACTCAGGGGTGTGGCCAACTCACTAGTGAAATACGTTACAATAGATCCTATTTAGTAATACATCCTTATAGTAGGCTGCTTCTGCCATGATAGAAATGATATATTGTCGAGATCACATGACCTGGTTGGTCATGTGACCCTGGATGGTCCTGAGAGTAGTTAGATAGTCCTCGAGGGGTCGGAGCTTCTCTCCTTCCCCGTCCGTCTCTCAATCAATAAACTATCGTTATTGCTTGTTTCTTTCTTTCTGTCAAGACAAGGGAAGAGGCCGAACCGCCGTAGGCATCCTATTTCGAGACTGTCTAAGGGACTATAGTCGGATAAAGAACCGAATTCGTATCTTAAGAGCAGAGTGCGACCGAACTCCCTAGGCGGGGTGGTACTCTTATGAGTCCTAGTCCGAGGGGTCGGACTCGCGACGAGAAGTATCACTACCGTTGCTATTGTCACAGTTAACTTACCTAAGATGCCTAGGGTTCTAATCAGCAAAGGTGATGTATAGGTAGAACCATGTTCTTTCTAAGATTGCTAAGTACGCTCTCTTTAGAAAGAGAAAGCAGAGAGTCGATTGAATCATCCGATAGCACGTGCAGCAGAAAAGCTTTCCGGCTTCTATTCTATACCTTGCCTTAGCAAAATCTACTTAGAAGTGTCTCAATGTCTTATGCTGTGACAAAACCTAATCCAGAGTATAATCTCAACGATGATAAGCCTCAATGGTCAGTAGTTATAGATATCGATAAAAGTAGTCTATATTTTCCTCTAGCCGTCCTTCCCGCGATTTCCTCGTAGGAAAGCGCGTGCTTAACCTTCTACAATTAGATTTTAAGGCAGTTATAATCCCATCATAATGCGTTGAAGACCTACACATCTTCTTGTAAGCAAGCTATAAAAAAAAAAGAAAAAGGGGAGAACTTAGCTGTCTCGAAGTATTGCCACACGAGACTTCATTTTCGGTAACTTCCCTTGCTTTCTTCAGACCTCATGCATTCTGATTTACTCACATTAAACAGCCCAGTCAATTCGCTATTAAATGCGACATTCACCAATGTCTAATGTCTTACAAAAAAAACGAGAAAAACGTGCTTATATTGGGTCTCAATTTATGGTGTAAAACCGGAGCCCCAACACCAGAGCTGTTTGGGGCGACTAGCTTAGCTAAGCATTAAAAGGCCCCGAGTACTGGTTGTGAAGGTTGACACCAAGAATATCTTAAAACACCGAAATATGACGGCTATTCTATCCGGTCACTTGACGTCACAAACAAACCAAAA